TTATTTGCAGAACAAATCTCTTTACTAAAAAATTAAAATTATGTCCTTAAATGGAGTGCTGTCTGATATCAGTATTAATTATAAATAAGCCTCCCAGATTTTGAAAATATTGAAATAATTATAATAACTTATAAGCAATATTAAAACAATTATAATAACTTGATAAAAGTTTGTTAACTCAGGTAGTAGAGTTATGAGTGAAATCAGTATATGTTCTTTAACTGTCTTTCATCATCTTGAAAATGACGACCCCCACTGGGTTTCTGCAATTGTAAATCTTTACAGAGGTAGATTGCCCCATCTTCCTTCTGCAGATCAGCTGGTGGATTTGAACCACAAAACTTCTGGTTAGCAGCCAAAGGCCTTATCCACTACACCACCAGAGCTCCTTTCATCGTCTTTAGTTATTAATAAATTGAATGTAATTCCATGTAGTTGATATGGTAACAAGAAAGCTTTTCAAATCAGTTACTATAAAACAAGTACATGTTAAAGTTATATGAGAAGTGGTACAATATTGACTGTTTTTACCCATGGTAATAGTTTGATTAATAATGGTTAGTAATGGTTAATATGACCTGTAATTCTCCCTCATTTCTCTATATCAATGAACCAGCTTTGTTTAAAGTTAGTCTAGTCCCGCTAGTCTAGACAAATGAGGTTAAAGGAAAAGCAATTTACTGTAAAGCCAGTAGTAAAGGGATTCTGAGAAGGTATACGATAAGAAGGGAGAAGAATCACTAACTGTGATATTATGAGGTCATGATAGTGACCTCAGTAGAGGTTTATACAGAGAAAGAAACATCATGCCTAAGCTCGCAAATACAATTAAGAGTAGGTAGTAGAGTATGATCTGGCCTATTTGAATCTCTCGATTCAAGACCGGGAGTCATACCAAGACCCGAAAATCCCTTTCGTAAGGGTTTGCTGGATACCCTGTGCATCACTTCCCCATGTCTCCTTGGTCTGCACTGATTGTTACTGAAGACCTTGAAGCTATTCTCTGCATCCACCAAGGATGGGGTGAATGGTTGTGAGGAGGGCTGGCTAGCGACACAGGAGCCTGACTGAGGTTACGAATGACCCTGAGGGGGCTGTTTGAGGAGACAGGTGAAATTCCAGATTCTCAACATTGATAACTTTATCTTCTACACAATTAATAAGTTTTGTAATAAAATCTATCATTTAAAAAGGAATGGCAAATTTTAAACTGCTATTATTGGATAAATGATAAAATGACATTATTTACTAAGTTTTTCATTCAGGCACTTGCTAACTTAATCTTAAAGCATACGTTGTGCAAAAGTGATTTATTCCATAGTGTAATACATACACATATAAATCAAAAACCAAACTCACTGCCATTGAGTCGATTCCGACTCATAGTGACCCCCATTGGGTTTCCAAGGCGATAAATCTTTAAAGAAGCAGACTGCTTCAGCTTTCTTCTGTGGAGTGGCTGGCAGGTTCAAACTGCTGACCTTCTGATTAACAGCCAAAATGTGTTAACAATTACACCACCAGAGTTCCTTACATGCACACACACACACACATAATTTTTAATAATACTTGGTTAATTTATGATTCATGTTGCTGTTAAGACATAAATAAGACTGCAATCAAAAAGTTAGACCAGAAATTTCACCATGAACGTCGTTGCTCTATTTCTTCTACATCTCAGTTGAGACACTGAGTGGCAAAGTAAATTTTGATGTAAGACTGATTGGATTGAGCCCCAATCCTGCTACTTTTTAGACTCTTAACTATATATCCTCAGGCAACTTACTTAATCTTTCCGACCTTCAATTTTTCTATTTGTAAGAAAAGGACAATTATGACGGCTTTATAGAGTTATTGCAAAGATAAATTTGATACTGTTTCCAATGTGTTTGCTACAGTGCTTTTGGTTAACTAATATTTTTTTAAAAAAAAGTAGTTGCTATTATTCTGGAACTCACATTGACCTTCAGGAAATGGCTATGCATACATACACTCAGTAGAACTCTGGTCCATGTAATTTAGAAATATTAAAGTTCTGTTATCAATTATTTCCTTTAGTTAAAAAAAAATAACCAGAGTCTTGGATCAAGAAGCTCAGATACCATTCAATATTATTTGTATTGGCTGCTAGAGATAATTCAGGAAACATACTGTTTGATTACTTATACTTATGCTTGTCTAACTGACACAGTTTTAAATTCCTCTGGTATAGCCAACTAAGAGAAGGAAGTGCAGATACATTTAGGGTCAGGGTCAGGGTAACCTTAGCTATGGAAGGTTTCAGAACTATGGCACCTTTTATATATATAAACTCTTGGCACAGGTATCAATTAAAATGCTTCAGCTTCTTTGTTTTAAGGTAGTTTCCCAAAAATGAAAGGAATGACCAATTTCTTAGGAAGAAAAACTACTTGAAATACACACCTGGGATAACTGAAATAAAATTATTCTCGTAAGGTGTTAACAAACCACTGTGTTTTGGTTTTATGGTACTCAACATGCCACATCTGTGACGTGTGGGAGGTTCATTCTTTTAAAGAAGTGGAACAATATTCAAGAAGTAAAGAGCAGTTCATGACAGATTGTCCAAATTCCTGGTGTCATAACAACCCTACTACTGCCTAAAATTGGACCAGATTTATAATTTATTTTCATAAGATTCCATGACATGATACATGTCTAAAATGATGGGGGAGTTTCTTTGCTTAAGGAATACTCCCAAGATAAGCAACAATACTGCCTCAAATACAGTTATGGAGAGATGACTTCAGAGACCTGGCAAAACTTCAAAAGAATAACGCAATTTGAGAACAATGTGATTGTTATTTTCTTTTTTTTTAAAAAAAGCAAGCTTCTCTTCATCTTACAGTAGAATAGTTCCTCCTGTCTCTGCCTCCACTCCCTAATAAACAATATAGAACTTCACTTTAGATCATAAGTTAAATAGAAGGAAGTTAATGATAGATACGAAATGACAAAGCTGGAGTGGGTGGGCCTGCTAAAGCAAAATGGGGCTGAGTGGGAGGGAATTAGCAAATGGAATGCACAATGACACCATTGGGACAATTCCGAATTCCAGAGTTATTTTAAATTCAAACTCTAATTACTTTTTAAAAAGCTTTACACTGGGAGATTGCTTTCAAGAAACTAAATCTACCCAGGGTAGAACTTGCTTTATGTGGTAATAGTGCCTAAGGCACTTGACTGCTAACCAGAAGGCTGGCGGTTCAAACCCACCAGCCACTCCTTGGAAGGAAGGTTGGACAATCTACTTCTGTAGTGATACCGCCCTGGAAACCCAAGGAGGGGTCATTATGAGTTGGGTCTGACTCGATGGCACATAACAACAATAACAACATGCAGACTTTCTACATGTCTGGTAGGGTGTTCCAGATTAACTGTTATCTATTTAAATTTTTCTCAGAGGAAACACACAAATTTCAGTATAACTTTTATGCTTCTAATAGTGCAGTTACCCAAACTATGTGCAGAAGTGTCCCAGGCCACTGGAGTCAACTCACAAGGGTGCCGTGAAATATGTTAAAATTTCAAGGGAATTGGTGAAACTCAGTTCCTGCCAGGTACCCATGAACTACCAACTTTCGGTAGACCACAGTTTTACCATTAGATTGGACTATGTATATTTCTTCAGATGATATCATATGTTTGCAAGGCTGGGTTTTTGGAGACTGTTTTGATTAACAAGAGCAGTGTGGAAATCAAGGTAGAACAGGAAATCAAAGTGGTGCTGTCCAATCTGAGTCCAAGATTTGGGAAGTTCCCATTAATAAATTATTATGATTATTCAATAATGATATAAATACACACACACACACACACACACACACACATATATATATATATATATATATTTTAACTAGCTACTATGCTCTGTTGTTGTTGTTGTTATGTGCCGTCGAGTCAAACCCGACTCACAGTGACCCCTCCTTGGGTTTCCGAGGCAAGGACATTTATTTATTGAGTTATTTGAGCCTACTATTTAATAAACAGAACTGCTAAGCATTTGCTCTGGTCTACAAGCACCATGGAAAAATTAGACACACTAAAAGCATTGTAAACTGAAAAGTTTGGGAATTTCTATGTAACACATTTGCAAAATATTTAAGCAGGTATCAGCATCAGAAACAAATGATGCCTTGGACTGATGATTTTCTGCATGTAGAATATCTGTACTGAAGAAAATGTGGTTCTGGGAGACTGTATTTAAGCATATGATTCATACTTTAATCCTCTGGAAGAAATCCAGATATCCATTGATTTCAAAGTACATTTTACAAATCAATATTTTTTAGGGGGAAAGAAGGAGGTACAGAGTTTAGAAAGCTTGCTTTGTTTTACTGTTGTTGTTATTTGCCATCGAGTCGGCCCCGACTCATAGCGACCCCTCCTTGGGTTTCTGAGGCAGTATCACTACAGAAGTAGGAATGCCCAACCTTCCTTCCGAGGAATGGCTGGTGGGTTTGAACCGTCAGCCTTCTGGTTAGCAGTCCAGTGCCTTAGGCACTATGCTACCAGAGCTCCTACTAAGTTTTGTTCTTTGGTCTCTATTCAGTGCCTACCTATTGCATTGTGAGAATTTCACAGCCTGATACAGTTTTCTTACCATCTCTTAATATATTTGTAGATACTGTAGAACTTGTTTATTTGCATAGAGCAAAGGCATACTTTTTTTTTTTTTTTTTACCTTGGAAGTTCTCTCAATTGCATATAAAGCAGACTTCTTATTACTTTTATTTTCATGGAGTGTTTTGTAGCACATCGATGAGTCAATTACTAGATACTATCAAAGCATTTTAGCATTATATAGATTGATCAGCATTTACAAACAGCATTGTTCCATTTCTCTCTCTCATGGCCTATCCTGGCTCTCTAGTTTGCTCCTTTAGTTTATTTCTTGGTACAAGAACAACTGAATTGCCAATTTAAACTTATACTTTAACCAAAAGAGCCATAACTACCAAGGGATAATGCTACATTACCATGCTTGTGGACTTGACATAGACGTTGTTTTTCAGATGGCAGTTTCCATCGTTCGGCACCACTATGCCTGCCAATTTGCTATCAAGAGCAAGATGAGATGTCTGATCTGTCATCACCAGCAGCAATCTCTTAGCTTCTTTTCGCCACCCAATATGACTCTTAGAACAAACATGTAATTAGACCTTGTACAATAACAGAGTTATACTGTAGTCTTTACCTTCCAGTAAACATTATTTCAACCTAACAAACATTAAGTCAGGCTAGAATGATGTGCATTAATTCAATGCTGCTGCATAAATAGTATTAATTTTAAATTGCATATCTTCTATTTAATTACAGTCATTTGACCACACTAACTCCTGGTGAGAGATTTCTAATGTTCTCCTAGAGGAGGAAAAAGGCCAGATTTCCTAAATGCAGAGCATCCAGTGTGGTGTGACAAGGCTACTTCCTTTCCCTCCTTGGAGCGTGGTGCATGAAAAGAGAGGCCCTTTCTGAATGGATTTCCCATGTGCGTAAGTTAGTCTTTCTCTTTTATCTCTTTCTATTTACATCCTTCTTCCAATTTAGTCCCTCAGTCCCAAACACATTCCAAAAGGAATAACATTGGTGACTAATAAGATATAGACGAGGAATGTATTCTTTTATGCTATTCTGGAAATCAAAGAGAAAATAAATATTCTAAATACTTTGAGAGTTTTGTATCTGAGCAAACACTTCAAAATTTTTACCTCACAAACAGCTGCCTGAAGCATGGCGTCAAAACCTCCTTCTGGTGTATCTATATTTCCAGAGATCTTCTGTCTGTGAACTGCTTTTTCGAAGTCAGTGATGTTCTCCGTCAACGATAGCACATGAATATACCCATGGGGAGGCATGCAGTCTAAATTATAGTCACTACGTGAGAAAAGAAGAGATAAATTCTATTTTGCTTTGCCACCTTCAAAGCTCCAGAATACTAATAATAGTAAAGTTATATATGGTTGCCACAAGAGAAAAATCCTTCATTTGGCCAAGGAAATTTTATAACGGGAAAATCTGTACTTTATAAAATCAGAAAGAAGTCCAATATTGGTTAATATTTCTTTGCAAGTGGGAAAGACAAATCTAAGCTCAGTTGTGAGTTTTCAAGAGAGAATTAGAGTTTATGTTGTTGTCGTCAGGTGCCGTCGACTCGATCCTGACTCATAGCAACATGACGTACAACATAATGAAACACTCCCTGAGTTAAGAGTTGAGTTTGTAGCGATTACCTATCACATCTGACCAATGAACAGCTGACTAACCCTTTTAGGGAAATATTTTGGGAATTTATTTACAATACTATTGGGGTAGTTAAGTTGTGTGTCAACTTGGCTGGGCCTGGTTTTGAGTAGCTGGGCAGCTGGATGCAGTTATTGCCCATGATGAGACTGGTAATCAACTCCATGGCAGAATGTGCTTTGAGCAGCTGAGTAGCTGACTTAGGGATATGTTCTGCTATCAGTATATCAGGAGAAGCTTGGAGAAAGATCTCTGAGCTTTTTGGCATACTGGACCCTGCATGTGGTCTAGTCTTCAGTCAGCAGCCTGCCCTGTTGTCTGCCAATCTTAGGATTTTCCTGGACTTGAACCAGCACCCTGCTGTGACTGATAATTTTCAGACTGTGCCATTTTATTTGTCGACCTTGGGTTAGTCAGCCTCAGCAGCGAACAGCTGTCTGAGTTAAAGAAGTCTCCAGCTTTAGAGGACCAAGAGCAAGAGGTAGAGCTGAAGCCCAAGGTTGAGTAGCTTTCACCAAGCCCCTAGAGCCTGGCACTTTGAACTTGGACTTCTAGCCTCTTCCATAGTGATACTGCCTTGGAAACCCAAGGAGGGGTCACGATGAGTCGGATTCGACTTGATGGCAGTGAGTTTGGTTGTTGTAAACTGTAAGAGAATAAACTCCTGTTTGTTGAAGCTATTCATTTGTGGTATTTTCTGTTAGAGCTGCACTAGAGATAACCAAAACAACTATATTATTGTTTGGTTTTTGAAAAATATTATGCAGCTATTAAGAACAATGCTTGGCATGGAATTATTGATGGATGATGATAATATATTTAAATTGTTTTGTGAACTTCATGATACTCTGCAAAGTGAGAAACATTCCTCTGGCACATTTCCATTCCAGGAGAAGGCTCATGATGCTTTATTAGGAGATGAATCAGTTCTGTTCTGGTACAACAGACAGCAGAGTTATTTTGCTAAATTGGAATATGTACTGTAAGCTGACCTGGGCAATTTATGGAAGTAGGAAAGAACATGTTAAAAATAAAATGTTTTATGAGGGAAGAACTGTACACATTTATTTGTCTCAGAAAATTCAGCAAGCTAGTGACAACAGTGTGTGAGAAACATTTTAAGATCAGTTTTTTTCATGATGGAGCATGTGCTACTTAGGCTCAGACCTAAAATGATAGGGAAAAGATTCTTTTAAAACAGTCAAATTCTCATTCTTTGACCCACCTTCCATGTGATAGCTGAACTTTCCTTGTTGTCAGGTATAAGCAACATAATTATAACACAATCACAGTAAAGTGATGGAAATAGAGTTTAGTCCTCACTGCCATCAAGCCGATTACGACTCACAGTGACCCCTTTGGGTTTCTGAGGTGATAAATCTTTGCAGAAGTAGATTGCCTAGTCTTCCACAGAGTGGCTGGTTGGTTTGAACTGCCAACCTTCTGGTTAGCAGTCAAATGCCTTAGGCACTACGCCACCAGAGCTCCCAGAGATTAGTCCTGGCAAGATAAATACTTTAAAATGCAAGAAATATTAATGCAGTAGATTTGGAGCATTCAAAATGAGAAATACAAAATTTTCAAAGAAATAATTATATATGTGGCAATCAAATTATTAATGTTTTAGTCACTAACATATAGATTTTTAAAATAAAAACTGAATGAGTGATATTTGAAGAAATATATGACAAAAAATTCAACCTATAGATTAGATCAAAAAATTTTCAGATAGAAACATTTCTCCCCCTCAAAATATTTTAGATTCTAATAAGACAAAAATGTGATAATTTATATATTCTTTGTATGAAACAAAACAAAGCTAGAATTTCTGAGAAAAAAATATTTCATTTAGCAATATGAAATCCACAACAAACACGAGATACCTGCACTGATTATGAATCCTTTCTGGGTGGATGCTGATATAGGGTGAAACTGTTTTATCCACGTATGAGCCAAATCCAAGGCGGAAGTCACGGGAGAAAAATGACATTTTTCTAGATAAATCATTTCCAACAGAATTTAGTTTTTCTATATTATTGTGCATTGATGCTGAGACATCAACTAGATAATAAAGGTCCACAGGATATTTCTTCAGAGGATGAATTTTCAACATAAAATTAGCTTCAGCTCCTAGTTCAGAGAAAGGAAAAATCATGTATTCATTTCAACGTCTTAGGATAAACTGTCAAATAGTCAGGCACGTTTCAGCATCTAGAACAATTATCACAACTTTCTCCATAATGAATGAAATGAGGAATATTCTGGAATATGTTAAGGCAGTTTGAAAAACATACCAAGTCATTAGTCTCCAATACCTGCGATGCATTCCTCACAATTCTACAGAACAGAAAGTAACAGATGGACCATCTCAATGTAAATGTATCAAGAAATATATTTATCTCCACATGAACCTATATTTCCCTTGGAATCTAGAAAAGCACAGCATAAAACAGCAAGCACCATCTCTATCCCAAGAGAAAACAGTAGGTGGTTATGTTTGTGGAACAATTCGAGGAAAATCCGAACGGTAACTTCACAAAGTCACCTGTTTTGGGATGTAGTGGTAAATTTATTATTTTGGGTTAAGGCATATTTACATATGAGATGTGGAAACTCTGGTCCTAGATAGTACATTAAACTCTTTAAAATACCAGTACCTCATCATGAATTCCTTGATAAAATTCTTCCCAAAAATTAGCTGAGAGAAGAAATGAGACAGTGGTTTAAAGAATGATACCAAGGATTGCCAAACTGGGGACTTAAGGAACGTACATGACAGCCTTTGTCAGGGACATAGTTGGTCCTCAATGCAAATATGTTAAAGAGGGATCACAGAGTCACTGGCTCTGGACAAAAGAACTGCATGAGAAGAGAGAAAATGTGAGGAGAATTCTAAGGACAATAAACCAAAAACTAAACTCACTGCTGTCGAGTCAATTCGACTCATAGCCACCCCTCCTTGTGTTTCTGAGGCAGTGTCACTATGGAAATAGATTGCCCAACCTTCCTTACGAGTGGCTGGTGGTTTGGAACCGCCAGCCTTCTGGTTAGCAGTCAAATACCTTAGGCACTACGCCATGAGAGCTCCTTCCAAGGGCAATAGTGTCTGCAATATAGTTTTGTTTCGGTCTGCCCATTACTGTTTGATACAACAAACTGGGTTATTCTCCTATCACCCTACATGGTAATGCTGTTTTTAATTTAATTAAAAATATATGGTGAGAGAGCATCAATTTACATCAAGAAAATTTAGAATTTTTGACTTATACTTTTTTAATCAATAAAGCAAACGTTTTATAAGCCATTAATTATATGTTCTTGGGAAAAGTTTTGAGTGGGAAAAAAAAAATTGTTTTTCTTTTTAAATAAACACCGATTAATATAAACAATTTATAGTCTGATTTATTTATTAAAAACATCTCCTGATTTATGAAATCATATTTTCAGTCCTAATATGCTTAAAAATAGCAATATTTTCTTTTAAATTATTTTATAGATCAGATGTTTTACAGTCAGAATACCTACCCAATATATTCAAAACGGAGCTCTGGTAGCATAGTGCCTAAGGCACTTGACTGCTAACCAGAAGGCTGGAGGTTCAAACCCATCAGCCACTCCTCGGAAGGAAGGTTGGGCAATCTACTTCTGTAGTGATACCATCTCAGAAACCCAAGGAGGGGTTGCTATAAGTCGGATCCAACTCAATGGCACATAACAACAACAACAACAAACATATAGTAATAATTATGGGGGTAGGGGGCTATTTTCTCATTCCTAATTTGCTTTTCTGTGGCAGAAGCACCATTAGTGTAGCATTCCTAGCTTTCTGGCCCCAAAATTTCAAAAGAGAATCAGAGCATGCCTAGTCAGCCTACCTCAATCTCTTACCCCTGCCCTTTAAAAGCTGGGCTGCCTCCAGAGATCATATATTTTGCTCTGTCTTCTGGCATATCATGAAGAAACCTGTCCCTATAGTATGTGTCCTACAGTTTGGGTGAAATTCAATTCAGGAAACAGGATTTGCTGCATAGGCCCAGATGAATGAGAAATGAAAGCAGAGTGTGAGGATAACTGAGGTGCTGTCCTCAAGGAAGGACCTGGAACTTCAATGTGTTGGTATTTGGATCTTGGCATTGTGGAGCAACACATTTGAGCCATAAGTTGTTTTGTTCTTGTTGTTGTTTTCTACAAAGTGTATAGTTGGTTCTTATCTGTTGTGATTTAGACATGATTAATATGGCTGACAGCTTCAGGCTCAGGTCACATGTACCTTTCATCTTGGTGGATCATTCAAGCAAGTCTATTAAAAGACAGTGGCTTTCTGTTTTCACAGAGTCAAGGCTAAATGCACTAGATATTTGGCATATTGTGCAGGGGCCTCAGTGCAGTATGGGTTGGTGACCTCAGCAAACAGGCAACACCTGTGTAGCATCAACAAAGGCATAATCCTTGGAGGCCTAAGCTATGGTACTTGCCTACTAACCAGAAGGCTGGTGGTTCAAATCCACCAGTCACTCCTCGGAAGGAAGGTTGGACAATCTACTTCCGTGGTGATGCATGCCTTGGCAACCCAAGGAGGGGTCGCTATGAGTCGGGTCTGACTCGACGGCACCTAACAACAATAACAAGAAGCTATTCAGGGAGCTCCAACCAAATGCCAGCCACATGGGGGCCCTTAGCAGACTTGAGCTGTTCGTATCCTAGCAAGCAGATTCTGATCTCTCTGGCCTCAGCAAAGAAGAGGGATGTGATAAAGCATTGCCAAATGATCAGCGTGTGAGGGTGTAAGGCTGCTGTAGCTTGATTTGGGATTACATAGATGCTGGGTTTAGCATATGCACCTGAGCCAGTTCAAGATCTCAGCAGAGACAGAGACCTCAGAAAAACAAAAGGAGAATCTTTTCATATATAAGCTTTTAGATATTGTTAGAGAGAACAATAATCACTACTCTTAAGCTGTGAAGCACCTGAATTCCCTGTGACGTTCTAGCTTCAAGTAGCCAGCTCTACATAGACACTAGATAGGCTGACCCCAAGCCCCATTTGCTTGTTAGGGAAGAAATTGAAGGGACCAAGCTTGGATTGATATAGTTTACTCGACAGCCTGAGACACTCTCCAAATTTGATCTCAAGTTAGCTTTGGTTTGGATAATTATATGAGGGAAAAACCTCTTGAAGGCAGGTTTCTTAGGCTGGTATTTTGTTATACATATATATGTTGTTGTTGTTGTTATGTGCCATCGAGTCAGACCCGGCTCATAGCGACCCCTCCTAGGGTTTCCGAGGCAGTATCACTACAGAAGTAGATTGCCCCATCTTCCTTCCAAGGAGTGGCTGGTGGGTTTGAACCACCAGCCTTCTGGTTAGCAGT